TCTAACCTGGGACCTTTCAATCCGAAGGCCGACGTTCAATCCACTGAGTCAAATCAGTTTTGGTAGTGGACATGTTTTTAAAACTACCACATTCTGCTTACTTGAGAGTCCTTTATCATTTACTTACTTCTCATGTGGGTTGGGCAAATTTTTATCATTAATATACATTGCTTCTGACTTTTTAAAAATCATGCTTGGTCTGTGATTTGCATTAAAGGACTTGTTCACACTCACAAACTAATATGTGCTTCTGCTAGGTTGGTGAATCAAATGAGAGAAGAGATATGCAAGTACTTTGCCAACGCTGAATAAATAAATGACTACAGGTTTTATTACTACTATTATGTAGAAATGTAGCCAGAAATTCCATAATATACTTCCTATTTGATTTGCTAAAAATTGGTCCCTGGATACAATTGTGGGAATGTAAGTTGTGGGTCAGTTATGGAATTTTCCATCATAATATTTCCTGTGGATACTAAAATCCAGATCAGGACACAAAAATAAAATATGTCAACTAGTTTATGTTCACTGAGTCTTCTCTGCCACTTCTGGGAGTGTCAGTTTATCCTTTATTTGATATTTGGGCAGTCACAGTTATTGGAAGTATGTATAAATATGTGTGTCTGTGCTTGGATATGAAAAGAGGAATGTATAGCCCCCACATGAGAAAGCGCCAGCAGAGTTGCTAGATATTTGTTGTGTGATAGGAGATGGTCTGCACCGAGCCACCGTGCCTAGTCTTTTGATTCTTGTAATACTTTTTCTTTTTAATTTCAGACGTCTCTTTAGATGGAAGTAATCCTGGGGTTGGTAATACTTCAATTCTATTGATCATTAAAGCGTACTTGTGGAGAAGAGAAAGGACTAAAGAAAAGTTGAGGCTTAGACATGGGCCAGGAACCAGGAAAGAAGGAATCAGAAATTAGGAAATAAAGACAAACTCTGTTTGGAATAGAGATTCAGTACAGTTATTAATGTGCTTTGATTTTTAAAAGATGGGATCTCCAACTGGGCAATTTATATTGCTAGATTCAACCCACATATATGATGTGTCAGCACAAATACATATTAAAATGTCTGTTAAAAATTGCTGGCTTTCTTGAAAAACAAAACAAACAAACAAAACAAAACAAAAAAACCACAGAGTATGTTGCAGTATTGGGCCTCCACGGCAGCAACCAAGCAAAGCTGTGGTGCCTGTGGCTTTAGATGGGATAAGAACTTCCCAATTCACCACAGTCTTCCTCTGCGGCCTCCTCCTGCCTAGCCTCCCTGAGAATGCTCACCGGGGCACACCTGGCTGCCAGCAGGAAGACGGGTGCAGGAGGCTGCATTTAAATTGAGTGACAATTCTCTCCGCAGGAACTACATTCTTTCTTGGTCCATTGCAGTGATCTATCAAAGGACTTTGCCTTTGGAACACAGGTAAAAAGTGTTTCATGTGCTATGCTTGGCAGCAGATAACTACAGGGGCCACATCCATTTCAGATGCCATCACTAACGCCTCTGTGTCCATCTCTTTCCAGGTTATCTAGTCAAGCTTTTTATTAAATGCTCGAGGCCCTTGCAGGAAGTTTCCTACAATAGGGTTTCCTGCTGTGATCTCTGCTGCCTCACCTGCTTCTCTCCTTTCTCCCCCACCCCCTGTTCCCCTTCCTTCTCCAGAGCCCCACTGGCTTCTCTCCCTTCTCCCTGCCCTGCTTGCTTGCTTCTCCACAGCTTTGCTCCCATCTGCAGCACTTGGCTTCTTTCTACACTGTCTTCAGTCTTTGTTCTGGCCTGTATATGCAAATTAACTGCCATCTTGGTTGAGTTAATTTGCATACTCACCACGATTGGCTGGTGGGTGTAGTGAAGGTATGGTCAATTTGCATATTTCTTTTTTCTAAGAGAGGATTCTTGGGGTACCACGAGTGCAGAAACTGCATTTTTAAGAACTTCTTCAGCAGAGCACATCCAGGAGGGCACTTGCAGAGAGGAAGAGAGAGGAATAGAGAGAAACATTAATGAGAGAGAAACATCTATCAGCTGCCTCCTGGACACCTTCTACTAAGGAAGTGCATCCCACCCCACACCAAAAGGACCCAGAGAGAGTTACCCTCACTCTATTTTTGGTCAACTTTGCGTCTCTCCGTGGCATTATAGAGTGACTAATAAAGGAGAGCAAAGGAGCCCAGGTCGCATTATAGGTGAAGCAGTATGTTTGCTTTTTTATGCTTATCTCCCCATCTCCCAGAATTTGCTTCACTGCTCCTGGGTTTTGACCAGTCAAGAATTTTATGTATGCTCAGCTTCTCAACTAAAGCACACTGTGTTCTTTATTTTGTACTTTTAGTAGAGGATAAAGATCAGAACAACAATGACCAAAAAAAGCCAGACCAAACCAAAAAAAAAAAAAAAAAATTATATTAAGTGAGCATTAAAATGTTTCTAAAAGTTATTTGAATTGTAGAAACACTAGAGATAGTTTCATTGTGGACACACAGATGTGTGTGTGTATCCCATGTATTAGAAATCCAAAACAAAATCAAATAGGGATTACATTTCGTCTTTAGCAAGAAGTTTAATATCACCCTCCAAATGCCTTATTTTCCTGCTTCCCTATATTTAGCACACAGCTTTGAGTTTTGTGTTTGTTGCCTCATGGTCCCAAAAGGCTGCTCTATCTCCAGCATCATTTTTGCATTCCAGGAAGGAAGAAAAAGAAAGGAGCAGTGCTTGTATTAATAAAGCAAAAACTCTCCCAGAAATCCCTAACTACAGATGGTTTCTTACAAGTCTGTAAATATTTCTCTCTTTTCTGCATCCAGCACAGCTAGTGAGCAGTCCGCTTCCTGAGTAGGCACTGCTGGGGATTAAGAAAATGATGGTTTATTGCATTCATTTTATTCAGCAAAAAAACAGAAAGTTTTACTAAAGTTCAAGACTTGGGCCCGAGTTGTATTCATTCCTGGTGCTTGGCTGGATTTAGATAATGAAACCCACCCCTGGCTCAGGGGCTGAAGGTCAATCTGACAACACTCCTGCCTCTGGCAAGGTGTGTTTCCAGGATGTGGCTCTACCAAAGCCACTGGATTCAGCTGACAATTATTAAAGAAATGCTCATGTGCCTTCCCAGGCACTCTCTACACATGTCTCTGGCCATAACTATGTCATTGAGCCATTCTAGAAGCAAGGAAACCTGACAGATAATATTAACTGAGACATTTCTGCCCTGCTATGTACTGTGAGTAAATAAAAATAAGGGGAAGTTGATAAGGGCTTGCCACCAGCAGTGCCCGCCAATTCTTATTCATTTCAGAAAAGCCTATAAACATATTTAGAAACTATTTTCTCTTTTTTCTTCAATCTTAGCTTCCCACTATCTAATGCCTCCTTTGAAAGAGGAGAGTTCATGCTCTGTGTAGGTATTGAAAGGAGAGGATTTTGGATGCTACAGCAATGCGGTAGGTCTAGTAAGTAAATCTGAAACACCTGCAGTTTGGAGCATACTCTGAGCCACAGCAATGCCCTGCAGATGGCAGTTGAATGAAGCTATGTAAATGCAGTTGTCTGCTAGGCACATTTCCCAGGCTAGGAACAATTTTGATTTTTTTCTGTGCTAATTGCCCACCTCAGACTCTCCAAGACTTTTCCCTTACCTTAAGTATAGATCTGTCAAAGCCTGAATTTTTCTTCTTATTATTATTAGAGGTAGTAATAGTAGTAATAATGATGGGGAAAAGAGATATTTTTGGGGTCTAGCAATCTGAATCTAGTTACTGCCCCTTTAATTGTCTGGTCCTGCAAGAACTGTTTACTTCCATTTTAGAGAGGCCATACACCTTCCCCAGACAAAGTTATCAGTGCTGGCACCAGGCCAGGCCTTTCATTGAGGTCTCAAAGTCCAAGCACATAGGTCTCTTTAAGAACTTGCAAAGGGGACCAGAAAACTCCATATTTGGGAGACAAAGGACTGAAACACATATAAAAAGAAACAACTTCCTCCGTGTTACTGCTCAGAATTTGGAAGATTTTTTTTTTCCTTCCTCTGGGCCCATGCATATTAAAGGGTAATTCCATTTCTCTAAGCTAGGGGTGTCGAACTCAATCAGAGAAGGGGCCAAAATCTAAAATCCAGCCTAAATCGCGGGCCGAATTGGTTTACTGAACAGTCATAAACTGTCATTGTGATGGAAACGCAGCGGATTGCAGTGATGACAGCGTGGTGCGGGCCACATTGCAAGGCCTGGCAGGACGGATTTGGCCCGCGGGTCTTGTGTTTGACACATGTGCTCTAAGCATTGCTTGGTTTTTCTCCAGTCTTCGGTAACAGTAGTAGTAGTAATAGTATTATAGTATTGGACTTCTAGGGCTATAACCTGCTACAATATGCAAGCACAAGCAAAGTAAAAACATGACAAAAATGAATTCATTTAAAGTAAACTACACTCTAATAATTATTTTCTTGGATATTCAGATAGTTTCTTCTCCTGAGGCAACAGGAACAGGAGTGACTATTTTGGTATTGCTCATACCATTCATATTTTTAGATATATCTTCTCCCAGGCAAGGAAAATAAAAGGAAAAATAAGCAAATGGGACCATATCAAACTAAAAAGTTTTGCACAATGAAGGACACCATCAACAAAATGAAAATTGTTAATCTCCTGGATTGAAGAAGTTATTTGCCAACAATACACCTGATAAACAGTTAATAACTAGAGTATATATGAATTCACACAACTTAACACCAATCTAATTAAAAACTGGCAGAGGACCTGAATAGATATTTCTCCAAAGAAAATATATACCCTGTTTTACCGAAAATAAGACAGTGTCTTATATTAATTTTTGCTCCCAAAGATGCGCTAGGTCTTATTTTCGGGGGATGTCTTATTTTTCCATGAAGAAGTATACGGTACACATTTATTATTAAATGAAAATAAAGGAAATGTATTACCTGTATACGGTACGGTAGTACGGTAGTTGTCAACACAAACCAGACAAACTGTGAATCCTACAGTATCAAGAATTTACTCATTTACTCAATGACAATTCAATGACAATCATCATCTTCCAGAACATCATCATAACAATCCAATTCCTGAATTTCCTGGTGAATTTCTTGTGACTCCATTTCTTTCAGAATCAGTGGACCAAATCTCTCATGTTTAGCCTAGGGGGGCCTTATTTTTGGGGGGATGCCTTATATTTCTCTCAGAAGGAAACCTGTAAGTAGGTCTTATTTTCAGAGGATGTCTTATTTTCGGGGAAACATGGTAGATAGACAACAGTTGTATGAAAAGATGCTCAACATGTTAATCATCAAGAAAATACAAATTAAAACCACCATAATATATCACCTGACTTCCGTCAGAATGGCTATCATTAATGTGGATGGAAAAAAAAGGCAACATGCTAACCTGACTAGCTCAGAGAAGGCCTGCATGGCAGTTTTGCAAACTCAAAAACCTAAAGTAACCACAGGGGATGGTCTGAAATTAAAACTAACCAAAAGCAGTTTATAGTGGGTAGTCATTTCTAGGTCAGTATCTTCCCTGACAAGGTCAAGCTTTACCTTAACTGAACATACTGTCTTTTGCATCTAAGATAGCACACCAGTGAAATGTCAGGGTAACTTGTAATTTCCCTTTTTCTGGACCCCTCAAGGCACAACCAAATGACCACAAATCCCCTCATTGCTATTGTTATCATGTTAATTGTTAACTGTTAACTACCCTGTATACTAATAAAAGAAGTATGTGTCTATCATTTTACTTTTATCAAATCCCATTTTTATCTCCCCTTTCTTTCTGCCACCTCCCTAATTTATCTTCCTTTGATTGTAATGTATAAAACAAGATGAAAAACTGCCATTCTCAAGAGCATTATCCCAATAACTTGAGATTCTGCTTCCCAGCAATTGTCAACAGTTTGGCTCAAATAAACTCATAAAAATCCTTTATGGGTTTGAATGTTTTTACATTAACATTAATAAATGAATAACCATGTGTCGGTGAAAATGTGGAGAAAAGAGAACCAGGATGGTTCCCTGGATTCTTTGTCCAATGGAATCAGAAAATGAATCCACAAATGGAAGGTGGTATAGCAAAGGTGAAAATTTTATTGAAGAACAAGTACAGGTTCCCACATGGGAAGCAGAAAGAATCTCACAGCACAGACTCCCAAGTGGGGAGGGGGAAAAGGTCTCACTGAGTCCCTGTTTCCATGGCTTATAAATAAGGTGACCAGACGGCGCTTTTGGCGGGACAGTCCGGATTTTTTGTTACTTTTAAAACATCTCTGTTGCCCTGGGCAGGAACTATCCTGCCCAGGGCAACAGAGCGGCTTGCAAGGTCAGGTAGTTGAACTTATTTTCCCTATTATTCAAGCAAGCAAGCGTTTACAGAAACCAAAATAGCAGGGTTAAAATTTTCAAACAGCAGGTTTTTTATACAATAGTGGTTACTATGCTTCACCAGGATGCTTTCTTAAAAAAAAAAAAAAAAACACGATCTTATTTCCTTGTAAAATTCCAATTCTTGGCTTTCCAATGCTTTCAGGTAACAATATTTCCTCTGTCCTCCTACCTGCTTAATTCCACTCACCTTTCAGGAATTTCGCTTACTTTCAGTAATTCCTCCCGCAGTCTTTCCAGCCTCTTTCCTCTCACCCATGACCTGGGTTAGGTGCTCCTCCTTCTGTGTACCTCAGCCCCTTGCCCATCTCTTATTACCAAACTTTCCCCGTTGTCCCATTATCGTTTCAGGTTTTTATCACTCAGTAATTTGTGTGTGTCTAGGGATTTTTATGTCTTTTATATGGATAGTATCCAATATTTGATGAATGGCGGAGATGTTTTCTACAATAAAATTACAGAAGACTTTAACTAGAATACATACTGAGCAATAAGCTTTCTATTTTATTTTTTAAAATATATTTTATTGATTTTTTTTTTTTTTTTTTTTTTTCAGAGAGGAAGAGAGAGGGATAGAGAGTTAGAAACATCGATGAGAGAGAATCATCGATCAGCTGCCTCCTGCACACTCCCTACTGGAGATGCACCTGCAACCAACGTACATTCCTTTGACCAGAATCGAACCTGGGACCTTTCAGTCCCCAGACCAACACTCTATCCACTGAGCCAAACCGGTTTCAGCTAAGCTTTCTATTTAAGATTATGGTATCAAAGGTGTTTCTTGGGCCTGACCTTCACAACTTCACTTGTTGTTCTCCCCATATGTATCTTTTTCTAATTATTTACAGAAGCAAGGCTTTTCAGTCACTCTAGATTTCCCAAATGCATCCTTATTTCCATCCTTAGGATATTTATTAGGGGGGACAAAGGGCAAAGGGAAATTTTATAAAGGCCATGACTTCACCTGAATAAGAATTCTTGATAGCAATGAACTCAGCCTCCTTCTAGAGATTAAAAGTCTTAAATGTGGAAAGTTGTTTAATAAGATGTGAACATTCATATGTTGCCTTGTTGACTTTTAAAGGTAATTAAAGCTGAAAATGAGCCAACAGTGAAGGTTCCTCATTGATAGGAATGCTTGTTGTTCAGAAACATTCTGGAAGGTAATAATTTAGAGAAGGTAATTATTTAATTATTAAAAAACATTCTCTCCAAACTGAAGAAATTGTTCCAAATGTCCCAAGCAAGTATCCTGACATAACTAGGCAGTAAGCTCATAAGTTAAACTTATCTCACATAGTCATCATGCTCAGTGAAGTTTTGAAGGTTGAACACTTCAGTTCTTAATTTGGTTTTATTATCTTAAATCATATTATGTATTGATTTTTGTTTAAGGATGTGTGTGTGTATCTATATATATATATAAAATAATATATATATATTACTAAATTAGCAGAGCATCAACTCTGGTATAAAAATAAATAAAATATTTAGTATATAAGAATAATTAGAGGATATATTTGTTTATATAATTGTTATTGGTATAAACAACAAGCCAAAACTATAGAATTCCAAAATGTATTGGCCTTAAGAGATAGTGATAAAAGACTATTTGTTTTTTTGCTATTATCTTTTGTATAGTGTATTAAATACTGCTGCCCCCATTCACAGCTCAAGTATTAAATCATAACTGATAATTTTTTTTCTAAATTCTAATATATCTTTTTTTAAAGTAATGTTGATTTCTTCCCTTCTGCTCCTCCTCCTGACCATTTCCCCTATGATCTCTCTTTATATCTTTGTCCAGAAACACATCCTAAAATGGATAAGTGAAGCAAATGTTTTGGAATAATTAAGCAGTTTGCCCTATTAATTGCACCAATTTATTTTTACTAGAATTTTCCTGACATTTCCCTCTCAATTGAGTACTCCCCACTGTTAATATTAGCAAAAGTTGAAAATATTGAGAGCTTGTTTGGAGGTTCTAGCAGGGGAGCGCAGCTACTCGTATACCCTTGACCGAAGACCGGTCCTCTCCTCTTGGGGGAAAGTCGTCCTCTTCGACCGAGCGCGCAGCTTCGGGAGGGACGCACATGGATCGGTGAGGGAGGAGGGGGACACCCGCCTAGCCAGCCAGATCAGCCGAATCAACCCTGGCGATCAATGGGGTGACAGATGTCGCAGCCAGATCGCCCTCACATCCATAAGTTGAAAATATTGAAAGGATCTTAACACATTTGGCTGCTATCTTCTAAGAATGTAAAAATCTACCATGCCTTTTCAAGTATTCTGCTTTCAGTATTACTCATGTACTTTTTAATTATTCGCATTTATATCTTTTTTTTCTATCTTTACACATTACTTAAATGTTCAAATAAAAGACTCCCTCACTGCCAATCTGAAGAGCTTCTTTTGAATACAGGAGGCCAGAGCATGCTGAATTAAATCAATTCAAATAGTTGGTTGCTGGCTGCTCTCCAAAGAAATTTTAAATCACACTGTCACAAAATTTTTGTACTGGAACCCAGATTCTTTGTCCACCAGAGTCGAAGAATGAATCTAGGGATAGAGGGTGGTATCACAAAGGTGGAGACTTATTGAAGAACAAGTACAGGCTCCCACATGGGGTGAGGAAAAGGGTCCCACCCACTTCCTGTTTCCATGGTTTATAAAGGCTGTAGTTCCTGTGTCCTGACATCCCCTCTGATTGGTCAATATTCCCTTTTTGAATCGGTTACTATAGTGACCGTGAGGCCCTCCTCCTTCATTGTCCTCCTATTCCTTTTGGGCTTTCTTCATTCTTAATTTGTAAATATAGACCATTTTATTTTTTATTTTTTTTGGCTATTTCCAGTTCCCTTGTCTTATGTAAATGTATCTGTTTACACTCTCTTGTCTTATAAAATATAATGGCACCTGGCTTCCTTGTGTTATCGAAATGTACCTTCTCCCTGTCTATAGCCCTATGGTTTTTTCCATGGACCCCGATTCTAAAAGTTCCCTAAACCTGCCTGTGCTCCCCTAAAATATAGTAAAATCTAATGCTATATTTGCTTTCCAAAGCAAGTGAAACATGTGTCTGCAACTTTTTCTCAAAACAATGCTCTTTTGAGTCTAATTTATCACTGTGTCAAGTTTTTTTTTTTTTATTTAATGTATTTTAAATGTTTCTTATAGTAAACTTTGAGGCTTATATATATATAGATTAACTGGAGACTGAGAGATACTTCACAAGGTGGGAAACACATAGATGGTGCTAAATGCTTTTGGCAAGAATTCTCCTGAATCCATCACCGCAGATCATAGTAATTCCCTGTGGACTTATGACCTTAAAATCAAAATCTTTGTATTTACCAGAAACCAATTTGAATTCCCTTGTGGCTTTCTCTTTAATTTTGAATTTATTTTTTAATCTATAATTTCATTGACTGTCTAGCCCAAGCATGTCAACCTTTGCAGCCCATGGGCTGCAAGCAGCCCACACGAATATTTTTGCAGCCCAGCCAATATAACAGTATGTAAGAAATGTTTTAATAAAAATTTTGGTAACTTAATTTTTACAATATCCTGTTATACATAATTATTAATAACGCACTACAGTGTTCACTAATGAGTGATTACTAGAATCCTGTTGTATTCATTTCCCTTATGTGCAGGCGTACCATTTCTCTCCACTAATACTGGCAGCAAGGATTTTAGCAGCTGATGGTCATGTCATTATTCTGTGCTGACTTGTTTGGTGTGCACAACAGGAAATATTTTGCTTTCAGAGAACAAGAAAAATAGGTTTACTTGCATTATGCTTAATTTGTGCAGTTATTCAGTGTCTGGTAAGTTAATGTTTAAGAAAAATATTAATTTTTATTAAAGTGTTCTATTGTTTTATGTTAACAATTACTCATTTATTTCAGCATGTCTCTATCAAAATAAACGTATGTTTCTATAAAAATTGAAGCTTTTGTTTTTTTGCAGCCCACATAAACTTAAACCTTGTTTACTTGGCCCCTGTTAGCCTTTGAGTTTGATATGCATGGTCTAGGCCTTTGAAAGTCCAAACTTACGTGGGAATTTCAGTTCCAGCTCCCAGTTCTGTATGAAGATCCAGGACATTGTGCTGTCTTTTGAGGCTATTGGTGGTCAGGAATGACGGTCCTCCAGAACAGCATGTGAGTCAGCTTTTATTTACTACTCTAGTTAGAAATCCCCCTTCATCTTGGGACCTTGGACATTTTCTTTAATTTATTGCAAGTCCAAGTTTGTATTTTTTAAAAATATATATTTTATTGATTTTTTTACAGAGAGGAAGAGAGAGGGATAGAGAGTTAGAAACATCGATGAGAGAGAATCATAGATCAGCTGCCTCTTGCACACCCCCTACTGGGGATGTGCCCGTAACCAAAGTATCTGCCCTTGACTGAAATCAAACCAGGGACCCTTCAGTCTGCAGGCTGACACTCTATCCACTGAGCCAAATTGGTTTTGGCAAGGTTTATATTTTTTTAAATTATTATATTTTATGAACATTTCTAAGTGTTCTCTATCAGAAAGACTTTCAGGATATGTAGTTTTCCATATTGTCAGAAATAGAGGTTCACAGATTCTTAGATTTTAAAAATACTCAAGTGCATCTCTTCTGCTTACAAAGCTACAGGATGTTTTGTATGCAGTAGTTGAGGCTATTATCTCTTCTATGCAGCTTGATACTAATTTCTGTGTATTGGTTGACTCTTTACACTTAGATTATAAGCTGTGGACTGCATCTTCTTTTCCTTCTGTGTGTCCCATTGTGCAGAGGACAGTGTCAAGTTCATGATAGGCTGCAATAAACACCGGTTAATTTAAGAGATCATCTTTCTTCTCTCGTATGGGGTAAGAAAACCATTGTAGCCATAACTCTTGCTGTCCTTTATTTTTATTTAAGCACTTGAATTTTTTCCTTCTAGTGGAAAGTATTGAATACTTATGATTCAGTAATCCCTCATCCTATGGAGGGCCATTTTAGGCAGCAATTAGGATGACACAGTCTACTTCTACTACTCTCTCATTGTTGATTGATATAACCCTGCACATTTCAATATTCCAAACTGTGGTTGTATTTAGTGCAGCTCAGTTATTATAATAGTTACAATCTGATTTTTAAAAGGGTGTTTGAAGAGAAAGGTAAAGACAGACATTATTTGGAGACTAGAAAAAAAAAAAGCTGTATTTTATGTACTAGTTACCCTACAAGAGCTTACAAATTCTTTTTTTTAATATATATTTTATTGATTTTTTTACAGAAAGGAAGAGAGAGGGATAGAGAGTTAGAAACATCCATGAGAGAGAATCATCGATCAGCTGCCTCTTGCACACCTCCCACTGGGGATGTGCCCGCAACCAAGGTATATGCCCTTGACCGGAATGGAACCTGGAACCTTTTAGTCCGCAGTACGATGCTCTATCCACTGAGCTAAACCGGTCTTGGCAAGAGCTTACAAATTCTGAAATACATGTGATATATACCACCAAATAGGGGATTTCTAAAATTATATTTGTATGCTAATTACTCATTTTAGCTGTGGTTTTTCGAAGAAGTAAATGATCCTGAACCTTTTGTCTCAGTGAGAGGGAAAGAAAAAAACCTCAGAAGTCGAGGACTGTTAGTCATCAAGATAAGAATTGCCCCTTTTCTAAACTGAATAGAAATGAATTCAATAAAAAGAGACATAATGATGGATTTATAAAAATAACGTTTCTTCACTGAATGGGTTTTCAATTCTAACGTTTCTTCACTGTAATCCTTTAAAATTATGCAAAAAGTTATTACTTAAGTGATAGCAAAGAATTCATTAAAAGATTAATAGTTCTGGTTTACCAATTCGTTTACTAGGCCACTTAATTATTTAGTTCATTAATTCTGTAAATGTCAGACTTACCATGAACTCCAGTGATTTACATATATAAGGTTATATAGTTGCACTGGTAATCACAGTCTAATAATTTCAAATAGGAACTTGCTATCATTTATATCTTTCAAATGAAATAAAATCTTTTTTTTTCAAACCAACAAGGCAAATCCAAAAGCTGAGTAATTATAACAATAAAATCTAACTATTCACCCTCCAACTTTGTCCACTTAAAGCACAATCATGGGCAACTGTAATAATAAAAAGAACCTCCAAAGAATAAGACAGAAACAGCTTCCAGATTAAGCAATACAAAGGACTCTAGTTCTGAGATACATGCTTTACTTAAAATATCTAAAATAATAAAAACATAATATGCTAATTAGTCTGGAAATCCTTCTGAATGAAGCCAGGGCTGCTAGGGAAGCCGGTTCCGGCAGCTGGGGGAAGAAAGACTTACTCTTGCTGAATTTTGTGCATTAGACCTCTAGTATATATACATGTTCCTAGGAAACTTCATGTTAGAAAACTATGAAGTTTCCTAGGGACACATATTTTATTTTATTTATTAAAAATGACCCTAGCTGGTTTGGCTCAGTGGATAGAGCATCAGCCTGCAGACTGGAGGGTCCCAGGTGCAATTCCAGTCAAGGACACATGCCTGGGTTGCAGGCTTGATACCCAATGGGGGGTGTTCAGGAGACAGCCGATCAACAATCCTCTTTCATCATTGATGTTTCAATCTCTCTCTCCCTCTCCCTTTCTCTTTGAGCTCAATTATATATAATGGTTACTCACTGGGAAAGTTTTAGGAAAAGCAACATTTCCTTAGCATAAGGATCCTAGAGTAGAGCTAGCAGTTCATATATATAATGAATACCACTTATACCATGCTAATGCATCAATATTACTCGCAATCACTGTTTTACTTAATACAGAGGAGCTATACAATATGAAATGGGCATATCTATTATATTTAAAATTGAATTAGTATAAATAGTCATCACTTAATTTTGAAACTTTACCAAAAGACACTGGACAATACATAGGATACAAATCTTTCTTTCTTTCTTTCTTTCTTTCTTTCTTTCTTTCTTTCTTTCTTTCTTTCTTTTCTTTATTTTTTTTCTTTGCCTTTATATAGTTTAACATTATCTTAGCAAATCTGAATAGAGTCAATATGCTGCTTATCAATTAAACTGAAGTTTTTGAAACCTTTTGGCTCTGTAAGGGCACTTATAATGTCCAAGCACTTTCTGGAGGTGAATTATTCCCCTAAATTGGGAGAAATGAAGCCATTTACTCAACAATCCATAGACCATTTGTTCACCACAACAGCACTCATCTGTGCTCAGAGTTCTAGATTCCTTAATGCTTGGTGAGAAGGTTTTATTACACTGAGAAAGAGAAAAAAATATAGGGATGAAAAAAAGAAAGACAAATCAGATTTTTCTGGAGGTAATTATTTTATATTACAGTTTGAGAAAAAGGTTATCAAATTCTGCTAGAGATTCATGAGAATGAATCAGAGACTATGCATCCATAGTCTTAGCTTGGCATGAAGGTAAGGAAGTCACCAGGACTGATATGAGATGGAAACCTGTCTTCAGAGTTGTATTTTACTTAACAAAAGAGGCAATAACCCAGTTACATCCACATTGGTGTGGCATTTGTTGAAAATATATGTACATTTGATATTTATTGACAAAGCAATTGAAATTACATTTTCTAGTACAAGTTTGTGAGAAAAGCTCTGTATTTAGGTCACTTAACTGTGGGGTTAATTTGCCAAAATAAAGGCTGAGTTGATAGTATCAGGAAGCTATTCTATATAATAACAATCTAATATGCAAATGGTTGTCACTACCTCATGCCCTGGTGCTGAGGCCAGGCCAGGGGACCTGAGGTTGCACCCCCTGCCATGGCACTAGGCTTGGGAACCTAAGACCAGGCAAGGGGAGATGGCTCCAGGCTGGGGAACCTGAGGCTGCACCCCCATCCGGCGGGGCTTGATAAGGGGGGTGGGGGGAGCTGGGTCTGGGTCTAACACAATTTTGAGGCACACGCAGGTGGACAGGGACTTGACTCTAGGTCCCATGGTGTGCCCAGACTCTGACAGAAGGGAGATTTTCATATACATTTTACCAATTTTCTTTCATCTCTGACACTTCTATTATAGAGAAAGGGCAAATGGCAATATTAAAATATTTCCTCAAATTAATTCCTTTTAATATGCACAAATTTTGTGCACCGGACCACTATCCGATATAATAAAAGGTTAATATGCAAATTGTCCCTCCACCAGGAGTCTGACCGGGAGTTCAACCAGGTAGTGGGGCTGGCTGGCCAAGCTCCCGTGTCCAGCCTGGCCCACTCAGCCCTGATCAGGTTGGGCTGGCACAGCTGGAACCCTTCCGTGCATGAATTTGTGCACTGGGCCTCTAATGAGAACCAGAAACACCCAACTCAAATTATTTAAACAATGGAAATAATTATTTCCCATAAAAATCAAGAGGTGGAAAAATTTCAAGTTACTTCAAGGTTTAAAATGTCATCGAGTACTCAGTTTCTTCCACTTCTCCTTGGTTCTGACATCTTTGTTGTGATGGCTTTTACACTAATGGACATAAGACAATTGATGTAGCTCTGGCAACACATTCAGACATGGCATCTCCCACAGAGAAAAATGGGAGCATCTATTCCTAATCTCTTTTGTAGCAACAAGAAACCCCTTTCTGCAGATGCCACGTGGGCCTCCCATGACATTGCTTATGCCCTTACTGCCCAACTCCCACAGCCAAATTCAATCACAGGTAAAGGGAATGGGGTGCCCTGGATTGGTCGAGAGCAACACGAATTGAATTAAGGTCGCTTTTCCCTGCATGAAGTTTAGCTTTGCCAACAAGAAGAAGAGGGTAATTGACATTGAGCAGAAGCTCCAATGATTCTTGCACCCAGAATTCCAAAGATCATTGGGGGAGTCCTGGACTTCATACCAAGGCTCTTGACCATTTCCCATATAACCTTCATCTGGGAAAACATCCCGCTTGATAAAACTATTATCAGGGGAATTTCCTTTCAAAACGTTTGAGCCTATCCATCTACAAAGGGAACACTGGCAATGAAGCCTTCATAATTGTGAAAGGCATGTGGACCTTGGCAAGAAAAAAAAAAAAATTAAGCTGATCCACAATTCCAGCCCTTCAGTAATGAGTCCATGGGCCAAAGCAAGTGTCTCTCAGAACATCAGCCCCCTTCTCTGTAAAAAGTGGTTAATGATAACTGCCTTACAGGGTTGTTTCAAGGATGCAGATAAGGTATATGATAAGTATTTTGTAAACTGTAGAGCTCAGTACTGTGTAATTGAAAGGTATGATTAGCTAATGAATTAGTCATTTTTACCTCTGCGTGTCACACTTCTCCAGCTGTTTAGTCATGTTTTCCTGCTGCTGCACCAAAGTAGCTTCCTGCTGTCTCATTACCACCTCGTGTTTAACATGGCAGAGATCAAGATTTTAATTTTTTACTGGAAGACACTCTTCTCTTTTCAACTCCGCAGTTCCTGTGGGGAATATTTTCCAGTGCCAATCTCCCAGGCCTGAGTCTAAGCCTGTTTTACAACCTTCTTTTTCAATCTCTCACTTAATAGCCATAAGTTCATAAAATCTTGCCACTTCCTACATAGTTTCTCTAATTTCCAACCTCTCCCTCTGCCTCCTCACAAATAAGCATCTAGTTCAGATTCATATTATTTAACATATAAACCTTCATAACTTTCACTAGCTTTGTTTCTTCAACTTTATGTGACATCTTTCCAGACAAGTTTGAAAAAGAATTCCTGCAACATGACCTCTTTTCCTGCACAGTCTACAGACGTGCCTATCTTGCAACGAAGTAGAATACTCTCACTGTAGACACTTGGTGGTCCCATAAGACACCTAAAATCAGAGCCATTTTGCAGACCTGGGCCAAGGAATCTTTGGAGAACAGCTTCTCTTTCTTTTGCATAGGTGAGGGTGGGCAGAAGAGATGATAAATCTCTGGGGAAGTGTAAGCCTTCAGGACAAATCAGGACATTTTCATAATTCTTTTGACCCACAAGTCTTAAAGTCCTAGTCTATGAACTATAGAATGGACTCTGATCTCTAGTACATCCTACTTCTAGAGTCAAGATGGGTGGGAAAAAGGGAAAAGAGACTGAGATAGCATTTGGTTGGAGGAAATGGACAACATGAATTAAGCTTATAAAGACACATTTGACCTTCAGGTTAGATAAAGTGGAGAACTTTGGAGATAGTAATTGGTCCTGATTCATAAAGGAATGCCTTTTTAAAGTATAGTTTCAATGAAAAGTCATGAGTGGGGAAGGAAAGTTTGCCCATAGCACTGAGGTGTGTGATAGAGGCAGGGCAGATGGAAAGTAGTAAGAACTAACATGTCAAGTTTTTAGTGGTTAGGATATGTAAAGATGTAAGCTATGGAATGCACCATAGGGGCATGAAAATGGATCAGCATGCTACTAGTATATGCAGAGTAAAGGGCAGTGATAAGATGAACTCAGATATCAGAAACTGAGGGGAAAGAATGGGGAAAGAGTGGGACAAACATATCTTGAGCACATAGTACACATTAGGCACTCTACCATTATGCTAACGTAGCAATTCTATCAGTGAGAATGTATTCTTGTAGTTGTTAGAGATGAGAACATTAAGGAAGCTTACTCATAGTCACTCTAAGCAAAGTAACTCCAAGCACTTGCAAACTGCTGCCCAGTCTCTCAATTATATTATCTGATCACCTTCATGATAACCCTGTGGGAAAGCAACATCACAACATCCAGAGAGGGGACTGGGTCTCAGAGGTGCTGAGTGCTCAAGGCCACACAGCTTGTTTTCTTTGCCGTTGGAGTTTAAATTTTGCTTAGCTTGGCTTCCAAGTTCACTAAATTATTCCAAGGAATGTAGCAAGAAAAAACATAGCTCAACCTCAGGGCTTCATATATTAGCTGTAATTTCATAGACGTTAGTGAAGATGTTTGAACCCTTGTGCGCTGTTGGTGGGGATGCAGATTAGTGCAGCCACTGTAGAAAACAGGATGAAATTTCCTCAAAATCTTAAAAAAAAAAAAAAAAAAAAAAAAAAGGAACTGCCTTTTAACCCAGCAATTTCACATCTGGGAATATATCCTAAGAACCCGAAACACTAATGCAAAAGAATACATGCACCCCTATGTTCATAGCAGCATTATTTACAATAGCAAAGATCTGGAAACAGCCTAAGAGGCCATCAGTAGATGAATGGATGAAAAAGGCTGTGATACATTTACACAATAAATACTACTTGGCAGAAAAAAAGAAGATATCTTACCTTTTGTGACATTATGGATGGAGCTGGGAATCATTATGCTAAGTGAAATAAGGCAGTCAGAGAAAGACAAGTACCATATCACCTCACTTATATGTGGAGTCTAATGAACAAAATAAACTGATGAACAAAATAGAAACAAAGGCAAGAAAACATGGAGCAGACTGACAGCTGTCAGAGGAGAGGGGAGCTAGGGGACTGGATGAAAGAAGGTGAAGACATTAAAGGGAATATATATATATATATATATATATATATATATATATATATATATATATATATCACATAGAGATAGACAACAGTTTAGTGATAGCCAGAGGGAAAGGGGGTGGAGGGGGTGGTAGAGAGTAGGCAGAGGTAGGAAACTGGGGGCAATGGGAATGGAAAGAGACTTTGCTGGGGCTGAGGGCTGGTGATGCAGTGTGCAGATGATGTTTTATTGAGTTGTACAATTGAAACCTGGATTGTCTTGCAAACCAATGTTACCTCAATAAGTTCAGTTTTTAAAAAGGTCTATGCCCTTTCCTCAGTTTCATAGTATATAGCAAATGTTATTCTAAGAACTTTGTCTAAAGATTTTTGAGGGGAAAAAATGTGTGAGATTAAAACAAATGAACAATAAAAAAAAGGGAGAAGTGAAGTAAGAGTTTGCTTTTTTGTGTTGGGTCAGAAAAGGGGATGCTATGGTTCCCTTATACCACCTTCTAGTAACACAGTGGTGCTTCCAACCGTTAGATGTCAGAGTGAGAAGATCAGAAGGCCTGACACTTCCAAAGGTCCAAGCAGGTAAGAGGGAAAACTTGTTCCTTTTAGACGCTTTCTTTACTAAGTGGCCTTAGTTGTAGCCATTTCCCCTCCCAGCAGTCTGTAACTAGTGCTTTCAGTCAAAATGATCCTCTGAGCCTCAGAGTTCAGAGGCTTTCCAAAGGGGGACAGAGTGGCATGTTATCGGTGCGGTGCCTTCTGTGTTCCCACCTGTTACCATGGGAAATGGTGTCCATGTGATGTCAAAAGGAAAGGTATTTCCTGAGATTCGCACAGAAGGATGAGTGATTTTTATTTCCATGGAATTAAACCTCTAGATTTCCAATGTTGTATTTCCCTCTGTCCCTCTATGGAAAAAGTCCAATCTTGCTTCAGCATTACTAGAATTAAGGCCACTGCTCATATTAAAGCACAGTCTATTTTAGCTTATATTTGAGTTGCTGTCTTTTGCATGTGGGGTATTATTGCTAGACGTTGGGTACCATTTAACGCCAGTGGGTCTTGATCTGGCATCTAGAAGTGTTCAGCAATCTGGAGAAGGGCTGTGCATAAATTAAATAAGAATCCAGAGACAAAACATAATTTTGAGAGGCATTTGGATCTGGGTGGGGGTGGGGGTGCAGAGGAGCCTGGCTAAAGAAACAAAGTTCTCCTCCTCTCAGGATCCCTTGCTTTTTATTAACACAAATTGTCTTAAGATGAGGTGGAGATATACACATCAAAGGATAGGATTAAGTATAGAAGCATTGTCAGATTGGGGAATTACCTCTGTCTATTCAGATGTTTGGCCAAGAGAAGGCAAAATAGCATTTAGATTAAGATGCCCTGAGCTGTCTGGCAGTAAGCAATCATCCTTTTCAGGTCTAGGGAAATGCCTTTAGCCATTCCCAACAGGCAATAACATATGTGACTCAGCCCTTGTTGAGTCCCCAAGTTTCATTAACCTTTCCATGAAACTCTTGCAATTATGTCATGCTGGGATTGGCTTCCAGCAGGGTATGTATGGCCATAGGATGCTTAAAGCCACATGGCTATGTAGTGAAGTGGTCAGCACTATCACAAAGCAAGAGAGAGCATGCCAGCAAGAGCAAGAGGTAAGAGCACAAAAAAGAGAACTCTTTATCTGGAGATTATAAATAGGAGCTTAACCAATTATCCCTTCAGGATTTAAAATGGTAACCAATTATCTTTTTCTCAGATTACACTGACAATCTACTACCTCCCCTACACCACCCAACATCACTGTGCATGTGGTTACCCACTGTTTGTCCCATCCCTTCCCAAGGTGCTTTGCAGGGAAGGGACTGGTAGTTACTTGTGGGGAGCATGAAGCTGTAGCTTCCTGGGGAAGCTGCCCACATGACATGCTTATAATGTCTGGCATCCTCTTTGCTTTCTTTTTACTATTAAAATTAGGCAGCTAATCCTATATAATAAAAGGCTAATGTGCAAATCGACCGAACAGCAGAATGACCAGTCACTATGATGCGCACTGATCACCAGGGGGCGGACGCTCAATGCAGGAGCTGCTCCCTGGTGATCAGTGTGCTCCCACAAGGGGTGCACCACTCAGCCAGAAGCCCTGAGCCAGGTTCATGAACTGGCGAGCACAGCAGTGGTAGTGGGAGCCTCTCTTGCCTCCGAGGCAGTGCTAAGGATGTCAGTTAGACATCCTCCAAGGGCTCCTGGACTTTGAGAGGGCACAGGCTGGGGTAAGGGACCCTCCACCTCCTGCCAAATGCACAAATTTTGTGCACCGGGCTCTAATTATGACAATAACAGGTAGGAACAAGGCAGAGAATTGTGAGCTGTGGAGCTCATTCATCCAACAGATCTTTTTGAGCACCTACTATGCGCTAGGGATGGGATGACAAAAAGATATAGACCAGGTTGCCTTCATTGCTCTATACCTGAGGTCAAATATTCACCCCAGTACTTTCAGGATTTCTATTTCATCCTCTATAAAATGAAAAGACACCTGCTTTTTAAAGTTTCTGTGAAAACTAAATAAGATAATTAATTTAAATGGTCTGTTGCATAATATGTGATTAATATATACAACACACACACACACACACACACACACACACACACACACAAGTACTCAGTGCCCAGAACCATAGGTGCTAAATAAATACATAGTGTGCTTAGGCAATAAAATCTCAGGCACTTGAAATATTTCTTATAGCAACATTTTTTTCTGATATATTTCCTCAGACAAGGGAAACAAACAAACAAAAAAAAAAACAAATAGGGCTACATTAAAATAGAAATTTTGGCACAGAAAAATGCTAAGGAAATCTTAAAAAAAAAAAAAAGAAAGAAAAAAGAAAAGAAAACCCACTAAATGGGAGAACATATTTGCCGATGATACATCTGATAGAAGATTAATATTTAAAATGTTAAAAAGAACTTACAAAACTCAGCACCCAAAAATTCCAAACAGTCCAATTAATAAATTGACACTTCTGAATAGACACATCTCCAAAGAGGACATAGTGATGTCCAATGCACATATGAAAAGATGCTCAATGTCATTAGTCATCTGAGAGATGCAGATTAAAACCACATGAGCTATCACCTCACACCTGTCAGAATGTCTATTATCAATAAATCAACAAAGAACAAGTATTGGTGAGGATGTGGAGAAAAGGGAACCCTCCTGAACTGTCTGTCCGTGGGAGTGCAGACTGGTGCAGCCACTATGGAAAGCATCATGAGTTGTCTCAAAAAATTAAAAATGGAACTGCCTATGTCTCAGAGAGTCCACTTCAGGTAATACATGTGAAGAAACCCAAAACACTAATTCTAAAAAAATATGTGCACTTGTATGTTCATTGCAGCACTATTTACAATAGCTAAGATATGGAAGCAGGTGCTGTCCATCAAAGGTTGAGTGGATAAAAAAGAGTGTTACATTTACACGTGGAATACTACTAAGCCATAAACAGGCAATAAATCTTCACCTTTGAGACTGCATGGAAGGACCTGGTGAGTGTTATGCTGTATGAAATAAGCCAGCCAGGGAAAGACAAGTTCCATATGATTTCACTTATATGTGGAACCTAATAAACAAATAAACTAACAAATAAAAACAGACTCACATTTTTCAAAGTGCAGGGTGGTTGAGGGGCTGAGTAAAAAAGGTGAATGGATTAAGCAAAAGAAAAAAAAAAAAAAACCATTGACACAGACAACAGTATGGTGATTACCAGAGGAAAAAGGGGTCGGAGAAGGTAGAAGAGAGTAAAGTAGGGATAAGTGTTGATGGAAGGAGACTTGAATTAAGTTGATGAACACGCAGTACAATATACAGATGATGTACACCTGAAACCTATATAATTTTATTAATCTATGCCACCAATAAATTCAATACATTAAAAAATAAATGCATAGTGCAGCAAGTTCAAATGAGAGAGAAGTGCAGAGACCATGTAAATAAAAATATTTCTAAGCAATCAAGTATCCTTTAATTATGTTGACTAAGGACTTCCATTAAAGAAAAGCCTCATTAACACAAAAGCATGTATCATATGGAACAGCTTGATCCAACTAGTGATTATTCAACTTTGGAAATATTAAGTTGCTGAGCCTCCCCTCAAGAACACTCCTACTCCGTTTAACATTTTCACCTCCTATTTATCATCATTATGAAAGTTGCTAGGAGCTGACCACCTACTTCACCATGGGGCAAATTGTCTCTATTTACACCGAGTTCAGCTAAAAGATATCTAAGAAGACGATGCCCCCCATTAGGGCCAAGAGGGTATCATTAATGTGGCTGGGCAAATAACTTCTCAGCCTTTATTGATCTATGGACAGGACTATTAACAAGGTGCTTGCTGATTGAAGGAGACCCTCCAAACCATTTCTTTTGCTTTCCAGGCCAAAAATGAAGTGGAGTGCTTCTCATTAGGTTTTCCTGCTGCTCTCCCTAATTTCCTGCACCCTACAGCATCAGCCTGGTCCATGCACACGGAACCTTTTGTGTTTCAGCACAGCATTAACAAAAGAAGTTCACAAGGATTTTGTAGAAAAGCTTTTCTTCTTTAACAAATGTATTTCTTAGATATCTTTTCTCACTCATTGCTGCACTTACCAGAGGCAAACACACTACATCAAAAAGAGCAAGCAGATATGATTTACATTTTTTTTTTCTAGCTTAATAGCTGGGCTACCCTGGGCAAGTTCTTTAACTTCTTCCGGGCCTCGTTTATTACAGTGTTTGGACTTTGAAACTAGTCGAATTCCACACCGGCCAAGATGCCGAGTACAAATCCCCACATGTGCAGACAACTGCTTTAACAGTCCCGTGCTGCAGAGACAACGTTCCCCCAAATTATTCAATGATGTGTTACTTTACTCATTCTTGTAACAGACATGTAATCAGCCTCAACTCTGCACCAGACTACTGGTTTGTTGCTCAGATTACACACATGAGTAATTCAAGTCATGTGGAATATGAAGATGTTGGAATAGAGACTGGGACGACATAGTCATTTAAAGTTTTTAAGAAGGCTAACTCTGAAACCTATATGAAGAGGGCTGGGGGGCATACTTGTTTAAAAAGAACGAGTTAAGAAGTGATTTTATTATTAAGAGAAAGATCATAGAGACTGAATTAAATGAGAGGCAATGGCAATGTCAAAATGGTGGCTCTGTAGAGGAATATTTCCAAGGAAGAAGAGACCAACTTTGGTTCCTGGGGGTAAGGGGACAAGGGACTGAAAATAACTTACTAACAGCACACATTCATCATCCCGTGCTGGTAGCTACTACATTTACACTGATTCTTCAAAGATCAGCAAGCACTTGACCCATAACAATTGAGAATTTGCATATTGAAACACACTGGTTCATTACATATTATTTTTTATATTAGAATTAGGGCTTTGCTTTTTTTAAAATTATGTTTGTGGTAAAATATATTATCTATGAATTTACATCAGTATGTTAATAAAAGCATTGCAAAGATGTATTATAAAAAAAGGCAGTGTTGTTTTTATGGGGTTAAATTCACTGGACTAGAAGAAGAGAGAAGATAATTTCAGATGCATTGGTAGCCTGGGAAGGTAAATGGTACTATGGTGTGTAGATTTCTGAATGTCAATCAGGTTTTACTTACTATTAATATGACCCTGGTGGGAAACTGGATTTTTTTTTTTTTTTTTTGGCAAGCTCTAATATTCAAATGGTTCTCAATGTACCCTTAAAATGTTGTTAAGTTTGGCTCTACATTTTTTCAATCTATATTACAGATCTTGCAATGTGTGTGTGTGTGTGTGTGTGTGTGTGTGTGTGTGTGTAAAACACATCATTCCCTCTAGCTTGACTATTTAAATCAACCCTATCCATTTCATTGGCATTAGTGTCTGACCCCGTTGTGTTCATGGCAACCTCATTGTTGTACAGTCATATTCCTTTCCTTCTCTTGATGTTTCAAAGCATCCTCCAAAAGTAACCATTGCATTCCTCATCGATCATCATTTAGCTATAGATAGGTTAACTATAAAAAATTTTAATACTTACCCCAGGACATGCTTATTGACTTTAGAGTAGGGGTGTCGAACTCAATCAGAGAAGGGGCCAAAATCTAAAATCCAGCCTAAATCGGGGGCCGAATGGTTTACTGAACAGTCATAAACTGTCATTGTGATGGAAACGAGGCGGAGTGCAGTGATGACAGTGCGGTGTGGGCCACATTGCAAAGCCTGGCGGGACGGATTTGGCCCGCGGGCCTTGTGTTTGACACATGTGCTTTAGAGTGAGGGGAAGGAAGAGAGAGCAACATCAAACATCAATGTGAGAAGGAAATATTGATCAGCTGTCTTCTCATATGTGCAGTGACTGGGGATCAAACCTGTAACGTAAGTATGTGTCCCGACAAGGACTCAAACCCACACCCTTTGGCGTATGGGTGACTCTCCAATCTACTGAGAAACACTGGCCAGGGCTAAAATTTATCATCCAAATGGAATCTTTTGAAAATAAAAGGGATGTTCTTAATAAATACTTTGGAGAAATCAGAATAAATGAGAATTGTCCTGGAAAACCAGATGCACATTTATTTTCACTATACACCTCAGAATGGTGAAGAATTTATAATTATTCATCCATCATGGAAGTGGCCAGATAGTCTTGCCTAGATCAAATGGTAACTAAAAACAAGCCTTTTTGAGTAAGTTAACCCTTGAAGACAGGGGCCATCTAATTCATCTTTGCTCTCCCAGTGTTCAGCTCACAGGTGGAAAATAGGTTTCAGAGCGCAGGCAAAACACTTGCATTTGCCTCTAATTAACCAATCAATCCACCTGATACCAAAGTTATCCCTCAGTAACCAGCCAGCCTCAAACTGCTATTAAATAGCCACTACCTTGTGGAGAAGGAAGCAGGGTCTCCTAAAGTCCTGTGAGTTAATACTAGGGAAATACCCAATTTCTTTTACAAAAGTCAGAGGCTCTTAAGAAAAGAAACACAATGTTAGGGGCAGAAATAGAAAAGTGTGGGCTAGGAATAATTATAAGGAATACTAATCATGCTCTGTTAGCCGTGACTGTTCTGTTCTGATGAGAGAAAGCACATTCTCACCTGGGTGAGATTTGTACGCCCAGGGATGTGGGTGCCAACACAGGAATGCAGCCATCCTTCTTTTCTGAGAATGGCCTATGGAAAGATTAACAGCCTTGTTCCTGAAACAATCTGGTCCTGGAGGCACCTGTCTTTTGCTATCCCCAACCTGCATGGCCTGTAAGCTGGTTGCAACCTCCCCTCTTTCACACACACCACCCTCCCTCCCCCACATTGCTTGTAACCTGGTATACCTTGCCTATTTCCCCATGCCTGTATTTCCTATTTCCCCATGTAATCTTTGTCCTTCTACTTCATATAAGCAGCTGGCTTATGGGGAGGGGTAGAGCAGATTTCTGTGGATGACCTGCTGCTCTCTCCATACCGCTGGAATTATTTAAATAAGCACGCACATAGGCTTCTGCCCTGTCTCTGCTCAATTGGTTCAAGTAGTTACAGGCAGCCTGGACCCGCTGATTGTCTGGTTTCAACAATATGAAGAACCTGGGACTTTCTTCACAGCCCAGCCCAAAACTGAAACCCCGTAGACTCGGCAAACTGTGGCTCGCGAGCCACATATGGCTCTTTAGCCCCATGAGTGTGGCTCTTCCACAAAATACCATGGCCTGGGTGAATCTAATTTGAAGAACTGGCGTTAGAAGAAGTTTAAGTTTTAAAAACTTGGCTCTCAAAAGAAATTTCAATTGTTGTACTGTTGCTATTTGGCTCTGTTGACTAATGGGTTTGCCGACCACTGCCGTAGAGCAGCACTACTCAAACTGTATGCATATGTAAATCATCTGGAGATTTTGTTAAAATGCAGGTTCTGTTCTATAGTCTGGGTACAGCCGAGATTCTCTGTGTGTTTTTTTAACAAGTTCTCAGGAATGATAAAACTGCTTGTCCTCACACCACAGTCTGAGTAGCAAGAGCCTTAGAGCATTTCAAATCTAGCAATGGCATCACTTCCTGCCTTTAATTGTTTACTTCCATCACCAAGCCAAGTGCTCCTCTGAGCCTTTGGAGTATTTCCCTCATGTCCCCAGGCCTTGCTCTGTGGTGCGCCCGGCATGGCTCTGTGCCTGACATATGGTAGCAGTTCAATATAATTTTATTGACTAAGTGATAGAAAGCAGTCCCACCTGTGTCGTGTCTTCTTGTAGAAACTTCGGCCCGTAAATCACTCCTTCCTTCCTTTAGGATAGGGGTGTCGAACTCAATCAGAAAAGGGGCCAAAATCTAAAATCCAGCCTAAATCGCGGGCCGAATGGTTTACTGAACAGTCATAAACTGTCATTGTGATGGAAACGCAGCGGAGTGCAGTGATGACAGCGCGGTGCGGGCCACATTGCAAGGCCTGGCGGGACGGATTTGGCCCGCGGGCCTTGTGTTTGACACATGTGCTTTAGGAGGATCCAGTA